AGGAGCCGTGCTTTTTGGGGCCAGAAAGGAATGCGAGCACGGAATCGATTATCGAGGCGCTAGATGAGATGTTCATGGACTGCACCCTCGATTTTGATTACGAAAATTAATGTTACATCACAGCAACTGACGCCAGTCGATGGGCGCGATTTGAATTCCTCGTCGGCCTTAATGTGAAGTAGTATGTGTTACATTACTCGATGGCACAATTTTCATTACTCATGACTGTCCATCACGTCTGCCCACCATTCCTGCCCACCGCCTCGCCCACCGCCCCTGCCTACCATGCATTCTTAGCTATTCGCTTGTGACCATCTTTGATTTCCGGCCATTGATAATGCATGGCCAGTCTTTATAATACATGGTTGGTCTTCGTTTGTTGCCAATTCGCTTGCCTGCTACCCTAATCATGGACAGTGTTCCGTCAATGTCTAATGTGTGGCTATACATGCCACAACGGAATTCCGTTCTTCGCCTCATACAACTCACTGTAAGTAAGCTCTATACTACAAATCATCCGCTGAATCTTTCCCTCTAGAACGAAGTGGTTCGTCGCCGTCCATCAGCGCTGCAGCCGTTGTTTCCTTTTAACCTGCGATTTTAGCATCCGTTTGTCACTTTTACGGGGGCAGAATTCGTTCTCATCGGATACTTGGCCGACTACACTCACAATCTACCCCATCTATGTGAGTTTGTCTCCTCAAATCAAATAATTCTCTCATCGTATTGATTCGTTCGTAGTGTGACAAAGTATTCGAGAATGATCAGCCTTGGATTCATGTACTTCAACAGGTTGGAACGCTAGTTGTCCCCGGCGCGGGGGATATGCACATATCCACAATTTATTCGCGACAACGGTGAGAGCTTCGCCTCCCCAGACAGTTCGCTTATTCAATTGCGAAATCAGTTGGAGAGCGGTTTGCCTACGTTCGATCAATCAATTCTACCTGTTGCAGACCAGGTGTCAGAGGCTAGCGCTTCCTTCGTGGTTGGTGAGTTTTGTTATTTAGTTGTAATCATCAGTCTTCATCGTCACATTTGATAGCTTCCAGAGTTGAACGCATCGGTACAATTCCATCATGCTCCGTTTCCATTCGGATATCCACCTCCCGAGCATCTCGTTGTCCCTGATTCGTGTGCTGTGGAGACAGCCTCCTTTAGCGCATCTATGCCATTTTCATCGGGACATCCACCCCTCAAGCACTTCGGTCTCGCTGATCCGGTCCTTCAACATGCTGCTGAAATGCCTGTCATTGGCACGTCTGCGCCATGTTTGGATTACACTGATCTTGCATACAGTGACTTCAACTTCTACGACCACTCCACTGGCTATTCTGCAAGCGCCGTTGACGAGTATCTCATTCCAGAGGACACAAATGAAACACAACTCGAGCTAGCCTTCGGTGAGCAGCAACACACCATGTATCCCAGCCTGGAATGGAGAGACTCCACCAATACCGGCGTGGACAAGAACAACCGCTCACCAATACTTCGTTACATGAGGAGGACGCCCTGGGAATCGAATAATCACGCTAACAAGGTGCTTGCTCATAGGCGGGTTGTGGACCGGAGCTTCCGGAAACCCATTTCGGATTTCTGCGACAAGCATGCGACGTCTGATAACTATTTGTTTTCTCACTAGTTTAAACATGACTCACAAGACCTACGAGGACATGGAGTCCCACCCAGGTCGGTGTCTTGCATTTTGGGTGTTGTCGTTATGTGTCGCTATCTTACAGTTTGATCAGTGATCGCGAGGATTTCAGAGACCGAAACCGTGTCTGCTGGATGGCCTGTGCTTCGCTTAAGTGTATGTTTTCCCTTGTCCTTGCTTTCGCTTCCTCCTAGGAACTAATTTGAGCAGCTGGTTAAGTCGTTCTCCAGTGCCAAATCGGACCTAGGAAAAATCCTGAAAGGTGCGATGTCAGCGCACCCCGACTTTGCCGGTACCAAGACGATCGAGAAGGCTATCTCCTTCGTTCTGGCTCTTAACTCGGGCCAATCCTCTCAGGTAAGAGACTGCAGACCAACTAGCATAATTTGACCTCAAGCGTTTTTTGTTTCCAGATCCAGCAAGCAATTTCGGACCTCATAAGTCACCAGGTATTTCGAGAAATTCTGTGGGGGTCCCTTTTGTACCCTGTCGACGGGTTATCGGATGGAAATTCCAATGGAAGAATCGGCGACCTTTTTCCAGAAGAGGTTCTGTCAAGGTTCAATTGTTTAGCCCAACACCTGGCTGGAAATTTAATGACTTTCGCAAGTCTTTCTTCACCCTTACCCTTTGTATCGAACTAACGAAATTTGCATCAATATGTCAGGTTTACCATATTCTACTTCTCATGGTGAAGGATGAATTAAAGAAGAGGAAGATCATGAGCGAAGCCAGAGGGTCGGAAACGAAGCTGAGGCCGAGGTCGAGGTGAACATCGATATCGACGCCAGCGCTAATATCCTGGAACCAGCGCCGAGGAATGCCATTATCATGGCGGCTCTAGACCATATGTACGAGCACCCACACATGTATCCAACGTTCTCGGAGGCCGTGAGGAGTCTCCCCCTTCATAACGTAAATTTCATATGTGCACTGTTTTACCTAGCTCATCATGATCTACATTTAGGAGTTCTAATGTTCTTCAGATCGCTGCAAAGTCGCGACTTGCGAAAAGCACTATCTCTGACACTACTGGTGACAGGCGAAATGGTCCTGGAAGACGTTCGGCCTATCGTTGTTCAGCCAATCCCCTCTGATCAGTTTGGCGCGCTTCCCAATAGCAACGGCTTTAGTTCCCCGAAGTCTCTGAGAGTCGCGTGGGACTTGCCCATGTCATCATTCTCGCGCAAGTAAATAGGACGTACGGCGCCGCTTTTTTCGTATGCCATCTTGTACTAAATCCATGTATAACAATCTTTGGAGCTGTCCTGTATGCCCAGAAAGCCGTAATCCCATGCATTTTGGCTCGTCTTCTGGAAACAAGTTTTAAACGTTTATTGGCCGACTATGAAGCTTGAAGAGCACACATCGCACAGAGCTCGAAATTGGCAGAGCAGTCAAACACTGCATGGTATTGAGATACGATCACAAGAGGTTCAAATTCGCATCATGCCATGGGGTGAGTGCGCTCCAGCACTTAAACAATATTTATTTAGCTAACTACGTCACTGATCGGCGGAAACAGTACGGCCCAAAGTACGGCTGGCTGGTATTCCCGTCCGGCAAACCTCGGCAAACAGTCAGATACATTCGGAGTTAGAAATTAACCTGGGCAGAATTGAAGTTCCGCTTATAGACAATTGATCACCCGCCTTACCCACGCCAATACACGACAACTACCATTTGCATTATACTTACGGCCAAATAGCCCCTGTCGAACCGTCAAACCCCGCATCGTAACATATCATAACACAGATGTCCCGCAACAAACCACGCGGCCTGTAGAGGATCGCTGCCACTGAAAGGCAGGAAAGTTTTTGGTAAGTAACGACTGTAATCAGCGACAGTAACTAACGATTTCTATCAGACGCAAGTTGATCTGTGGTTCGATTCGGTGAGTTCTGTCAGGAACTTCTCACCGATGGCTTACCCGAGATATACAGCGTCCCGTTCAATCGGTCGCCGTCCCGCCCACGCGCCGTCCGGTCGTGACGTTAAAGATAACGTTCATCCATGCTGTGAATAAAGCGAGAGCAATGCTTCGGGTACGTCACGCGAATTTCATTAGCACAACCATGATTCACACACGCCATCTATGTACATAGCTATAATGATTCGGACTCGGGGATGATTGTCACGCCTTAGGCGTTTACGCATATAGCAGGGCCTGACACATCCCATATATCCATCATCCATCATGAGATATCCAGCTTGTAGCATAGATCTTCAAATCCCCCCACATTTCAGCGCTACAACAATTGTACAGTAATTTAGCACATATCAGATTCCGCGCAAGATCACAATCGGTCTGATTTTTCCATAGGCCTGCATACATACTAGCACAGTACCATAATGATCTTGCTATATGTCACCTACTATATCCTATATCCCTCATGATCACTCCAACTGCCTTCGCTAATTATATCCATGGACCCTGGTTTCAGGGTTGTTCCGAGCGGAGGTATTATGATCAGAATCGTGCGTGGCGGTGAAATATAAAAATATCAATACCTCACTATCATCGTGTGAATGTTGAACGAACGATGGCCACGACGGGTGACGGTACGTACTTTGTTCAACCGCGAGCTCTAAAGCTATTTGTCTAGCGAGACCCCAGCTAAAAGAATTGTTTGATAGATGTCGCAGCTGCTCGATTGCAGTATTCCTATCTGGCCCTACACAACTCGGGCGGTACACCGAAATGGCACGGTCCACCGTGAGTGTCGTCAATATTACAGGACGAACACGGAGTACTCACACAATGACATAGGGATTCTCTACAGCGCAACTATGACATCGACGTGATGCAGATCGAATTGCCTCAGTTGGTAACCTTTGTTACTGACGATGTTGATCTAACCGCGGCATCAACAGGTCCGAGATGCGCGGGGGTTGGACCCGAGCTGGTTCACCCGTCAGGAGCCGTATACAACTACAATGCGGGAATGGTGAGTGCGGGCTAGTATTTGATTTACACGCTCACTTTGTCTAATAAAGAAAACATTCGCCGAAATGAACTTGAGGACTTGTTCAGAGGAACGGCTCCGGAGGCTTGAGTCCTGGGTCAGAGCGTCAAGAGCCAAGCTAAACGGAAAGGGATATTTGCTAGTCGTGGAGCCGATCGTAGTGCAAGAGAAGGAAGTCTATCCGTACTATTACGTCGTCCCAGAAAATCATATCATTACCTGGGTGGAGCCAGTGAATGGCTACCTTCTTTTCCAGGAATCTATGGCATCGCACTGGAATCATAAAAGTACGTCCCTTTTTTGTCCATTGATTCTTAGACTTGATTGTACAGGACTCGAACTGGAGGCTCAATTTTGGTAAGCGATTGTTATACTGACACGGAACGTTTCTTACTGATTGAGTAGGAAACATGCCGAATATTTTCCTCACGAAATCACAATACCCCTCTCCGAAGTAAGAGCTTTGCGAATTCAGCTGAACTGGTATCGCGTAGGTGAGTTATTTAGCGTTATAGAGCCCGATCGAAAGTACCTCAACAACAAACAGAAGCATTGGCCATTGAACAGTCAACAGCGGCTTCAATATTCTGGACTCTGGACCAGATGAAGGAAATGACCGATGAGCTGATCATTGCTGGCACGTACCTTTATCTTCACCGTTCAACCCACATTAATATTATCAAATTGATGACTGACACAGAGGAACTTGCAGAACCTGATGGGACCATGAAGGGACCAGGTGTTGCAATATGTGGTGCGTGAGCTTTAAGGTAGCTGGCAATCAGAAAACTTATCTTTCGCGAGGCAAAATATTGCATATGCTCCGTACGATCCCGTTTTCTCATACCATACGTCATTGAATCAAGCGATCAAAACAGGTCATCACGAATACCTGAACCATTATGGCCAACCCGAAGCTCGCCTGATACGAATGCACTCACTGGCCGAAAAACGCAGAGACCTCGAAGATTCTCCCTTGATCGCTGGCGCTGCAGCCGCCATGCTTTGGATTCCATTGATGATGCTTAGACGCCTTAAAACGATTTACGTTGATGGTCTCGTGAATGTGGTGGACATAAGGAGTTTTACTGACAATTTCAGTGCCCAGGCTAAAGCTCAAACCACCGTGGTAAGTGCTCTGTCGCGGACCTAAATGAACATGCTTACTATGACTTCGTCTGCTCTGACAGGCAAGTGTCATCATGGCCGTCAACGCCAGCATCCTTGCTGTCCCAGGTTTGGGCACGCAACTTACCACGAAAACGATGTGCTCTATCTCCTTCGTTCTCAGTTTCTACTGTATTATCGGGTGCGCAATAGCACAACACTTTGGTCACAGGTTAAGATCCCTTGACTTTGCGGTTCGAACGATTTCATTTTCCGTAACACGGGCCTGACGTTATCAACTTGACAGGTGTATTATCTACAGGAGAAGATGGCCAGTCTTGCTATCATCGCAAGTATACCGAGTTTTTTGTACCTGACGAGGTAATTAAAACTTGGATCAAAATGTCTCATTACTCACGGGGACCACTGCAGTTTGGGATTTTCCATCCTCGGATTTCTGGCAGGTGTATTTACTGCTGAATTCGGACTATCTTTGTCTGCAAGGATTGGATGCGTGCTGGCGCTCGTTGTTGGAGCGGGCCTCATACTTCCGTTGACGATAGCCAGTTTCGGTCCTGGCCTGATTCGGTGACGAGGAACGACTCCTGTATTGGAGCAACGCATTAATGGCTAACGGACCGCGAACGATGCATATTAGCCTTCTGTACGTCGTAGGGAGATTCTAGCTGTTCCTTCATCATATCTTAGCGTTTCATATTCATTCTAAAAACTTCGTTGCTTCTCAGTGCTTCTCCCGTGTGACAACGAGTCACGATTGGTGATCTCGACTTAGTATCATAGACAGTAAATAAATCGGAGTTTGAAAGACTTGCCAGTGGATGTTGAGTTCGAGTTCTCGACGCAGCGACCATCGACAACACCCTTTCTTCCCGCCATCAATCACAGAAACATCCTTCTTGGTGCTGCACTACGATCAACCCGAACATTGACCTATCAGCGCCCCGGACCCCAATCAATAAAAATATCTTATTGATTCCACCAGTTATGCGTTCTATGTGGGTTCCCTCGCTCGAGAAGAGGTTATCAAAGGTGAGTGATGCTTGAACGAGCGAGCTGACTTATCATCGCGCCACATCTGATTGGGCAGGTCGCTACCCACCCCCATGGATGCTGGGTTCTGCAGCGTTGCATTGACCATGCTTCGGACCACCAGCGCATCCAGCTTGTGAGCGATATCACTTATAACGCGTTGGCGCTCGTTCAAAAAGTGAGCATTTTTTTAAATCTTGATGGACGTTTTCATGCCGACTGGGACTGGTGCATCTTGTGTGGCCGAACACAGTACCAGGAAAATTTCGATTGAAGAGCTACTCAACCGCTCCCGCTTGGAGAAACTACTTCGCGACTCGTATGGCAACTATTGTGTGCAGGTACCATTTTTCTTTTGTGCATTTGTCGCTTGGGCTGGACATTCTTGTAGACCGCGCTAGACTATGCCGATCCTGCGCAGCGTATGCTCCTCCTCAAAAGCATTCGCCCAGTCCTTCCCTTAATCCGCAACACTCCTTACGATCCAAACCGTGTTGCAGCGGGAACAGGCCAACGTCGAGAACTTCAGCTATCATGCCCCTTATGGCATGATGCTCATGGGCAACTCTGGCCATTACGGTGGCAACCCCGGTTATCATGGTCACGGTCACCACAATGCAGGGGCCCGGTACATCCCCCAGGGAATGCACCCTACCAGTGTTGCTGATGTCTATGCCCAGGGAGGCTTGTATGGTATCCAAGCGCAAGGCTCCTACGGCCATTCTCGCCTCGGTCCCCAAATGCACGGTGTTCAGGCGCGTTCGATCGACGGATATGTCTTGCAAGGCACCTCTCCTCATAGCACGAGCCTGACACCCCCTCATACCCAAGCCACTGGCTATACGGGCGTTGCTGGATATGCTAACGTGAGCCCTTTTGGCACGGTCGGTGTTGCCGGGTCATTGAATGATCCTTATCAGAGCTACGCCTATGGCATGTAGAACGGGGTACATTGTATGCCGATTTGGACGTTTCTGCTCTTTCGTTCCTTGCGCACCCGCGCAGTTGCTTTTCAACGGTTTTAATGTATATTTTATGTACTTGTGTTCGACACTCATACCTCGATGGTTTTAATGTATATTCTATGTCCTTGTGTTCAACGCTCGATACCTCACAAGCATGTCGCTCGGCTGCAGATCTCATCTTCCGGGAGATTTTTTTCAATCATGAGCAAGGGCTGACTTCTATCATACCGCGGCGCTTTTTTTTCTTAGGTGAAAAATTCGCTTTTGTAAGTCTTGTTTTCACTGGCCCAGGTTCAAACGTTCAGTACAACGTAAATTTTGCGAGGATATTGTGAGGATATTGCAAAGCATTTGCATAGACACTCCACAACGGTGAGGGATGACGATAATGCATAACTATTATAAGGATACTGTAGCTCTCGTCTGCCGACTGCATCTGATTACAAACAGCCACCACGAAGTCAAGCTCGTACAGCGGGTGACCATCATTTTGCAGAGATGCGGGTCTTCCTTCAAGTGTTTATCTGCTGACTGTCACAGTTGCGAGACCTACGATGCTTCATCAGAATTGAAGTCCTCTTGCAATGTATTGTTGTTTGACGTTATAATGCTGATGTTTTTACAATACTCTGTCTTTGGATATAATCTGCGCATTTTTTATTTGATTTTGGCATAAATATCTATTTAAAGCATCTCCAGCCCGATTCCGTGATGGACGAGTTTAATGCCTTCTACGGGACATTGACATCAGATCAGCTTGGAGTAAGTCGGCTACTCCGAGTCTTGTACGTGCTAACTAACTCTTATTTGCTCGATTTTTAGAAATACAACGAGGAAGCCAAGAATTTGGTATATTGTGTTTACTCGGTTGTCTATGGTACTAATCAATGTTTTTGCAGGTGTCCAACGACGCGTGGAATAAGAATGTCAACGAGGGCCAAATCTACTAGCCTTTCACTCCATTCTGCTACCAGCGTCTGCCACACCTTCGTTGCTGTGTTATCCACTTCCTATTTTCGATCCCGCTGCCTGGTCTCGACATGTTTTCGATCTGCTCTGCCGTCTGCGTCCTTTCTACTTGGCTCTCGATGTTTGCGATCCGCTCTGCTGTTTACATCCTTTCTGCTCGGCTCTCGACGTGTTCTCAAGGTATACTCCACCTGTTTCGCACCAGTTTCCAGCTGCTTTCGTATACCGATTGTATTCTGCATAATACCTAGCATTCAATCAAAGCATATTTGACACTATTTAAGCACATTCTGGGAGGACAGCGCAAGTGTGCGTGGATATGCCTACTCAAACAATATGAGCATATTGGCTACTTTTTGAGCACATTCTGGGAGGACAGCACGATTGTGCGTGGATATGCCTAGATATGCGCAGTGTAAAAAGAAGCACAAGAGAGCACACGAGGCACTGCCCCGTCTTATAGAAAATATGCTGTGAGTCCGGATATCGGGCGAGATGCGCAAGTATGTGCTCTGTCTCTCAAACGCGCATCTCGACATATTCGGCCCTATCCGGGCACAGCCAATTCTCACTGGGGATGAGGGCTGGTCGTCGTGGTTGACAGTGACGATTTCAAGCCTTGAGGTTTTCAGGTCACGTGATTCATTTGAAGCCTAATAGTTTGAACTTTGCAGTTTTCGGTTCTTAGACACATCGATCTCGAAGTCAGCTAACGCCCGCGTGCACTGCCCACACGCATCTTTTGCTGCCCGCAGCCTTAGTCGGTGCATTTGTATATTTTCTTGCGGGTACTCCTTCACGTGTCGGCGCATATTCCGAGGAGCTTGAAAATCGATATGTTCCCCGCCTTGGAAAAATTAGAAGAACCTCTGTTGTGCATAGCGGCATAGCCTGGGGGCGCGCGAAAGAAGGTGCTATTGTATGGGCACAATATCGAGAGCTCGAGCGGCAACTCGGAAGACTCCAAGAAACTGGCATAGTGTCGTATGTAATATGTATGGAATCTTGTTCAATGGGTCTCATACAATCCCGATCACACTACAGCACTTAGACCAATGCTTTGTGGCGCTAGCATATTCCACGTAGAACTCGCATCTTCATAAAGCGTGATGAGATGACCGACGCAAGTACGAGCATGTCTATGGGCCCATCAGTGCATCGTGCATCCAGGAAGGGCCTGCACAAACTTGAAGACAATTACATCCCAAAATATCGCATACGTATGCCAGCTAGGCAAAAGATCCGACAGTCTTTTGTGCAACGCAATGATTTGACTCATGTTTAGTTGTTGAAGCAAGTGCACCAACTTCGCCAGCACACACCACCTTGCTTGCCCTTCGCAGCTCCCTGAAGATGTAGTTGTTCAAAGAACCGCCTCTAGTACGTTGATGCGACTTTGGCACAGCTCGCAGTGTTACGATTTTTTTCGCGGCTTCCGAAGATTAACAAGTCCGTATGGGTTCATTGCTGTCGTGTTCGCCACAAACCGACTGATCAGAATTCGGAGGCGAGGATGAAAAATTCTCACCTTTAAAATTTCCACATACAGAATTCCGTAAACAATGGAGAGAAATGCATAAAAGCAAGGCAAAAAGTTGAAAGTCACTCATCCTCTACCCACCGAGTATCATCTTCAACCGCTCAAAAATGATCGCCAACATCCTCGCTCTCATTCCGTTCGCCCTCCTCGCTGTTGCTGGTGACAGCGGCCAGTGCAACACTGGTGAAATTCAGTGCTGCAACAACAGCACCAGCGTGAGTCTCCAATCATGCGAGGCGTGCAACGAAGTTCTAATGACAGACCTGTAGTATGATTCATACGCTGCTCAAAAAGCCTTCAACGAGACCGGCCTCGTCGACGTTGTTGCAGTGGTAAACGCTTACGTTGGTCTCACCTGCTCTGGCATTAGCGTTGTCGGCACTTCCGACGGCTGCTCTGCTAACCAGCAGCCACTTTGCTGCGAGGACAACAAATACGTGAGTTCCGTCGAATCTTCGTTAGGTTTGAATTCGACTAACGTACCCCTCTCCAGAACGGTGTTGTCAGCCTTGGCTGCACTCCCGTCAATGTCAACCTATAGGCGGATCATGGCGTAGGATGCAGGGTACTCACTGGGACAGTATACCATACTTCGATGAACGTTATTTGTCACTACGCTCCTTGCTGTGCATTCGTCGATGAAAATACCATGATACCCTCTTGACCATCCATAAAAGTTATTGCTGTTTTCATTTTTTCCGTGATCAAAAGGTATATGACATGGTCCTGTGGTCAATGCTTGTAATGTTGAGGCCATTTTCGCGCCTGGGTAAATTCATGGCGCACCTTTATTAACAGCTTGACCATCAGAATTGGGACATCGACTGCGAAGTCAATTGTATGCACGTACCTTGAGTGACTTGCGAATGTGTTTATGAAGTTCGGGAAGCGCCAACTTCTTCAGCACGAACACCATGCTTGCCTTTCTCCCCGAATGTCCATTCAGAAAACTGCCCGTTCACTAGTGTGTACGACTTTGACACAAAAACATACCGCGTCACTGCGATGTAAATCTGCCATAACATCGATCGATCAGGGAGGTAACGTTCAAGGCATGATAATTCCCACGCAGCGCGAAATTGCCTCTCTCTGAGTCTCTCTCGACTAGTCCGCTTTCTTCGACCTCTTGCACTCAAAATTCTGCAGATTTAGCGCAGATTTTCTGAATCCAAGCTTTACAGGTTCTCAGCATGAACAAAATACTTTGTAGCGGATGGCCCATCGTGATAATTACACTTCTGTCCTTCTTGCCAACAACACATTGTCTGCGACCTCTGCGACGCTTCCTGTACACCGAATCGATCCGCGATCCACATATCCCGACTAGAATTGTATATATAGTGCCGCAGAATCCGGATGGTGTGCCCCAGGATTGTCAAGACGCAGACCAATGCGACCGAGAGCGCAGTTGTCATGAAGCCTGATTCCTCTACGTCTTAACTGCCGGAACTATTTCCCTCCAACTGATTGTATGACGATTGCTCCGATTTGCGACGATTCTGTCTTCTATCTACCGATGGTTTGCCCTACTGGAGTTCAGGAAGGGATCACCGTATACTTTCGATTTAGCGTCGTTCCGCTAGGGGAAGGAATTTCTCACGGTTAGCCCGAACACCTTGGCCTACTGTAACTGCGCACACCCGCTGTGACCTGCAAACGCCTGCAAGATGAACTGGCAATCTTTGGCCCTCTGTCTCTTATGCTTGAGTCAACGTTGTCTCGCTGACAATGGCATGGATATGTCCATGGATGATGGTATGAGTCTTGCCGTGGGGAACATGCTCGCGTACCTGCACTTTACCCCAGGAGACAACCGTGGGTTATGTTTTCTCAGGAATGAGCTCTTCTAACATGCCAGCATACAGTGTGGTTCCTTGGCTGGGTTCCTAAGAGTTCGGGAGCTATGATTGGCACATGTATCGCACTGTTTATGTTGGCGTTGGTCGAGCGCTGGATAGCAGCTTGTCGAGGAGTGATGGAATTCCACTGGGGCCAGCAGTACGTCCTTTTCCTTATTTTGCGTTGCATAGAATGAATTCTTCTTACGAATGATTAGAGCGAATATCATTACGTCAAATAAACTACATACCCTACCAACTCCATCATCTCCCATCTCGTTCATAAAACGGTTCACGCCTCCCTTCATTCCTGCGCATGACATTACACGTGGGGTCATCTTTGCAGCGCAGGCGCTGCTGGGTTACCTCTTCATGCTGACAGTCATGTATGTCGTGTCATTTTGATCGGCGAGCTGTTGATTTACTGAATATTAATGTGGACAGGACATACCAGCTGGGTTTCATACTCTCCCTTGTGGTGGGGCTCGGAGTAGGAGAGTGTCTCTTTGGAAGGTTTAGTAGTATTACGCATGCGCATTGACTGATTATGTGCGTTCGTTTTGTAAGTATAAATCAGCTAGATATCGCATGTCCTCACTCATCACAAAGCGAGGACCGACAACAATAATACACGGAAAATATCAACACAACCGTTCTAGAAGCAGAAACACGACCGGTCGCCTCCATGCTCTCCCGTATTAGGTTGTACTGCAGCCCTGGATTGCTCTTGTGAATTGGAGTTCGGTGAAGGAGGGTCGAAATATTCATCAGGTACCAAATCATCGTTATTTCTTGGCGCATCTGCTGCGGCGTTGCGCTGTAAAATGATGCATGAGACATCGAAACAATGAGAAAACCCAATCAAGCCCACCTCTTTACCCTGCGCGAGAGGGACATCGATGATAGGCATTGCTGCATGAACAGACCAGGTCGATTGTTCGCGTAGGCGGGATTCGAAGGTGATGGGAACAGCAGCAGACAATTGGGTATTGGGCATTGTTGGTGTGGTCCGAGACTGAAAAGGTGTGAGTGTAAATATTGACTGCAGGAGTGTCTAGGACGCTCACGTTCTCGCAAGAATCTGCATCTGAATGCCCCAAGGGAGGTAAGTTGTGGGGCAGAGGCAACGTAGCGGGGAACTGCGGCCCAACTGAATCAATGCTCAAGACAAACAAATAGAGAAACATACATCTAGGGGATCACGAGGCTGATCGTTTCGAACAGGACTCGGACGACCTAAGCGAAGGGCTTTTCGGAGGTGACGAAGGAAAAAGGGTTGCCACGGGTTTACTGCAGGCGAAGGTCTTTGCGGCCTCCGTACGTCAGGCAATGTTGGTGGGTTACGGCGCGCGGCAGCAGAACGACGAGTTGCATCAGACTGTGATAGATGAGCAGTGTCAATGAGTGTAAAACATGAGTTTGAATTCACGATGTTTTGATCTTGAATGTTGCTGTTATACTATATATCCATGTAGAAACCATCAGGTGCAAGACATTCATTGGACTAGCTGTGACAGCGAGCCACACAACGACCGGTTCTATTTTCTCGTCGTTTTGTCCTGGTGAGGTGAGTCCACATTTTCCAAGCGCCATCGCGGAGGCATCCTCAGTCTGCCATGGGACCAGCACGAGTAGTAGCAGAAGAACGCCTTGCACCAATGCACGTCTGGGAGCGAATCAATGTCAGATAACTCAGATGGTGAATAGTCTTTCCCCATGTCCTGCGGCATGGTAAGCTGCTGTCTAGGAGGACACCGGGTGTCGTCGACTTTGATGTATTGCGGGAGCTTGGCAGCAGCAAGTCGCTGTAGGGCACCGATCAGCAAACAAACAAAGGGGAGGTAAAAAGATCCACATTACCTTGAACTTGCGTCCAGCTGGGACTTCAACGACCGGTGGCTCGTGGACGGGTGTTGGCTTACAGAAGGAAAGGTGCTGCCGCAGGAACTGGACAGCTCCGTTCGAGTGGGGCAAACTGTCCCCCTCGTAATGTGCTTGCTGCGGCTGCCAGGGAACTGGGACACGATTGACGAGGTCGTTGGTGCAGGAGTGCCGTGCGGGGTGCTGTGAGTTTCGTCAATAATGCATTGCACGTTTATCAAAAGTGAAGACCGACATCATCAAAGTGAGTTGTGGCCTGCCCCAAGAGATGATGGTTGGATGGTAGGGGAGACGTGGCGGGAAACTGTCGGAAGATCGTCGAACCAATTGTGAATGATGATTCAAAATGAAGAGACGTACATCTAGCAGATCACGAGTCTGATCGTTCCGAACAGGAGGGACGGTGATTGTGCGAGAAGAGAAGCGAATAATTTTTCGGAGGTGACGCAGTAAAACGGGCTGCTGTGGGTGTGTCTTAGGTGGAGGCCTGTGCGGTCTGTGGGCGAACGATTTGACCGGCGATGTCGCTTGGTGACGGCTTGCATGAGACTGCAATGATGGCAATGGATGAGTTGTGCAAATGAGCAAAATCATGAAATACAGACATTCAGTAGGCGATCGAGCCTTGAATTCGTATCTGCACTGGCCTGTAAGGGAATGTCAGCGAACGGATGATACAATATGTGGGGAATACGTACACCGCCCCGTACTCCAAGCGCACCCCCGATGCTGGCCAAGATGTCGAGTGGAGTGTTACATATATATATCTTGCGACCTGACGTGTAAGCTAGTTGGCGGGAGTTGGGTGAGAGGGTGAGGACGTTGGGAGTCCGAGTGTTGAAGGAGGCGAGGAGCTGGCGGGACCCGAAGGCCCAGAGCTTGATGGTGTTATCATCCGCAGCGCTGGCGAGGAGAGCATTATTAGATGAAAGCACTAGACCGCGAATGACTTTGGTGTGCGCTTCGAAGGGAGCTCCAACAGTCTCCAGTGTCAACGCGTCAAACTCATAGATTGTTGTCGCGTCATCAAATGTGAAGGTGAATGCGGCTACAATGGTGTTTTTGTTTGTCCAGAACACTGGCGCAGATGAGAAGGGTATTTCACCGAATTCTCCAACTCTAACGTCCAAAGTCTCTGTGTGGACATCCCACACCTCAAGGCACTTCCCCGCCTCTGACTTCACTGCGAGCTTCTTTGAGTCTGGTGAAAAACGAACCGCGCCCACCCAATCGATGGTCTCGAATGGACCGGCCACGAGTTCTCCAGTGCCCAAGCTCCATATCCGCGATGTACGATCCCATGACCCGCTCGCCAGGAAATTGCTGTCCGTAGAGATATCTATAGAGCTGATCCCACGCGAGTGACCTTCGAATTTCTTGACGATTCCCGTCTCAACCTCGATGGCTTTGAGCTCCCCGTGACCGACACCTCCGCCCCCTGTGCTAGCCCATCGACCATCCCTGGATACCCCCACCGCCCATATTCCCCGTTCACAAACGCCACGTGCTTCCTCAATCTCCTTACCCACCTGTAGATCCCACTGCCAAGCAGTCTTGTCCCAAGAGCCGCTAATCATTCGCCGGCCGTCTGGAAAGTAGGATATCGACCGGATATACTTGTCATGCCCTTCCAGGGTCATTATCGGATTCAGAATCATATTGTTTGCTGCAGCGGCGGGCTGCATCGATGTCGAAGAAATTGGCAGTGGGAATGGCAAGTAGCTAAAAGCAGGTCCCGTATTATGTGACTGTGTTCGAAGGAATAGTGTCGAGCTCTCCTAGTGTTGGGCAGACCTGATGGGGATGAGGATTTTGAAGATGGACGATCACTTTGCCTGCTGAAGCCTATCGTCAGTTTATCCGCACTGGAAGTTAAGATGAGATGTTCAAGTTACCAAGGGGCTGGCTCGAGGAAGAAGAGCGAAAAATTCTTGAATGTCAGGACAGCTGCGCATTGCTAATCTCCTTGTTTGTCGGCACACAGCCATGGCCAAAGTTTCTGTGTAGAAAGGGTCGATTAGACCATTCCATTCCCACCTGCCGGTGTATAGAACCATCCATAACAGGTCAAGCTGTACAAGTCCTATGTATTTTAGAAATCTAGCACTCTGAGGAAGACCCCTCGAGTTGTGGAAGAAGGGACATAGCTACGCTGATGGTCAGAGAGGAGTGGCACGGTGCAGTAGAAAAACAGACGCACCTGTAAGGTGGACCGACGGAAGTATGAAACATCGCGAATCGCACTAAGGCCTGACGTCTGGCAACTCGTTCAAGAGTTATTTTAGCATTTGACCCCAGAAATTCTCTCACCACACAATTACAAACAGAGACCTCTTTGATGGACTTCTGAATCGAGATGCCATCTCGAGGAGGGATAACAACATAACAGCACTCCACGTTCATGGATAAGAACGCGACAAGCGACGACAATCAACATTAAAATATAGGAAAACGTACGCCAAATCAGATTATTTGAAGCAGCGAGATTATGAACCCATCATGCTCCCCAGTATTAGTCTGCCATTTGCTGACGGCTGTTGTGGGTCGAGATAAGGAAAAGCAAGATCGAAGACTTCACGTATCCAGCCATCGTCGTTAATAGGAGCACCAGCTACAGCGACGTACTGTGAATTAATGTATTAGACCTCGATCACAGCAATAAAAAAAGTCAACACACCTGTTTTCCTGACGCGAAAGCGTCGACAACAGGCAGCTTGCATGGCTTGCACGAAAGGGCCACTACGTTGACAAGTGGCGTTGGCAGGCAGGGGGTGGTAGATACAGGAAGTGTATTTGACGGTCGGTGCTGGTTGTGGGTCGAAACGAAAAAAAAAAAATGTGAGTATATTCTGAACCATGATGAATCGCGAACGTAACGCTCCCTAAGCTCCCTAAGACTCGAGCGCAGAATGACTTTTTAAAATGAAACAGGTCCGAGGGATCAGGAATGGACTGAGGATCAGTATATGGAGTTTAGGTGTGCCTCCAGGAGGTAAGTCAAATGCAACTTCACAATATCGATGCAAAGAGGACACAAGCGGGTTGATGGTTGACAATGGGGTCCGTTCAGCAGGGAATATTGCCAACCCATGTACTCTACCCATGTCTCCAATGGGCGAACACAGCTGCTCGGAGGAAAATTACTCTTCAAAGTGTTGAACGACTGGTTGTATTGTGGTAAATCACTGACGAAGAAGTTCCTGGAGGAGCATGGAGGTTGAGCAACGCGAGGGTTATCATGTAGCGATCATCGCCTGAGATCCGCTCTCAGGCAAGGGCCACTGCTGTGCAACCTAACGTACGACT